CCCAGCCCCACCACCCCCCGCCGCGCCGCCATCGCGCCCCCAGCGGGCCCCGCGGCAGCATGGAGGGAAAGTGCGGCTCAGGGCCTGCTGGGAAATGGAGTGCGCGGGGTGCGCGTGCGCGCTGCCCGCCCGCGGGCCCTGTGGAAGCCGAGCGTGGGACCGGCTCAAAGCCGCGCATGCGTAGCGGGAGCTCGCGGCAGCGGGGCGCGGGTGTGGCTGAAGGGGGAGGTGGCGCAGAGGTCGCAGTGCGCGGCAGAGGCGGCGCGTCTGCACGGGGCACGTAATGCCCATTGGACTAGTTCTACCGCGCGTTGGCAGGGCGGGCAAAAACCCTGCTAGTGCGCAGGACATTAGTCCAACGAGCATTAAGCATCAAACAAAAAGTGTTCGTTTGCGCTAGTGTGCAGTAGCGCCGGTTAAGTTATTACAGGTACTAAATGTGCCATAATTACGGTGCATTAATGAGCGTGTAGGTGCGCCCTCTATTACCAGCTTTGTGCCACTGCTTTTCCTTTTGACGTGGTGCAACAACGGGTATCGACATCTATTTGCTCAGCCTTTGTGTGGCCATAAAAAATGTTACGGTAGGTGTTAATGTAGGTGTCAGGAGACGTCGGTTTCCACCCATGAAGGCATATTTGATGGATGCAAAACCAGTGCAATTTTTAATTTTTCCACTAGATGGCAGAAATACCTTTTCTAAGTTTTTGGCGGGTCTTGTTTTGCTACCTGAAGCATAGGCTCTTAGCAACCCTCAGGTATTAGGGAGCCTGGAGTAAATAAGTTGATAATAGTACAGTAAATACATTCTGTGGCTATCTAAGAAGCCTTCAGTATAGCATTTCTTCTTTACTTTGTGTCAAAATGCTCCCCAAGTTTCCCCAGGAAGTGTGATGTACAAAAGAGAATATCTGGCACTCTCCTGTTATTAGAATTTATCTTTAATTCTTTTTAATTAATACAGACCTGAGAGAAATCCAACTTCCTTCTTAGATCTATCTTATAAAATTAAGCAGATAAAGTAATTTCATGAGTCAGTAACTTCTTAACATATTTATCCTTTCCTGATTCTAGCTTGTTGCCTGAGGGGGAAAAATATGTTTGTGAGAGAGAATTGTAACAAACCTATTCCGTGTGCCAGTGATTCTCAATCAAGTGCCAGCTAGAGCACCAGGAGTGTGAAGAGATAAGCAGATAACAAGCTCATGCTCTCCCTGACTGATAGGTCCCTGCCTCCACTGCAAGGAGGCAAGCACTGTAATAAATCAAATTTTAAAGTGGGGTACCGTTCAATTCACAACAGTTATGGATGGATGCCTTGAGTCTTAAAAAGGTTGAGAATAACTGCCTTATTCAAAAAGTAATAGGATTTTCGATTGAGTAAGGCATGTAAGATCCGATTCATAGAAAGATAAATAGATATTTGTATTTTGTAGGCAAAACTAACCTATGTTACTTCAACAGTCCATCTCTGTCTTCAGTGTAATGCAAAGAACTTGATCTTATTACAGTTTAAATTGGTAATAACATACCTATCAGCCTCAATGGCAGAAGGACTGGTACATATTCAGGAAATGAAGAAGGGTTTTAGCTTTTTTCTCCAAGGTCTTGGGAGTCTTCAGTTCTTGTAGACTACAAAACAGCTAAGGTAGAAATATTTTTTGGATCATCCTTCATGTGTTTTGACAGCAGTTTCTTGTGGCACATGCTTCACTCACTCTACAGAATCCAAACAAAAGTTGTGATAATTACTGCAAGTCAATCAGTCTCTCAACATTTGTCATAACCAGAAGCCAGATTTGTCATAACCTTTCCTTAGATCTGAATCATCAGTTTGAAAAGATATAAAACAATTCCTTCCTTAGAAAACCATAAGCTGAATATACCTCCATCATCTGAGGGATCGTTAGTGCCATGAACAGGGGTGTTAAACTCATCCAGCCCTGTAGGCCAGATGAATGCTGGTCCACAGGCTGGATGAATGTTGCAGGGCCAGTCTTTTGGCCAGACTGAACCTGCAGACCAGCCACACATGCCAGATCTAGCATGCAGGGCCAGCCTGGTGCGGGCCAGCATACATCCTGGACCAGCCCTGCATTGGTATTGTATCCAGTGGGTGTCCCAGACTGGCTAGAGCAGGCAGCATGTACAGCAAGCATCCTGGAATGGCCTTGCACTCCCTGTGCAACACACATCCTCCCTGGCCCCACACATTGTGTGAAGCATATAGGGCCAATCCAGTGCTCACCTTAAGTGGTGTATGGGTCCATTCCAAGACTCATAGGCAGCACTATGGGATGGTTGACAGGGCTCTGTGGGCTGTATCCGACACCCCTGCCATAAAGGAAAGATAAGTTTTGTAATCATAAAGCTTTATACTCTTTCTTGCTCCTGAAAAAGACATAATCTTTCTATTACATGAAATCCCCAAGAAATGATGTGTGGTCATTCACTCTCTGCACTTGCTTACAACCACATTTTGTTATTCAATCTGAATGAAAGAGTCTTAGTTATAATGCTGATCACTTGGGGTCTTATACCAACTTTACTGAACAAGTGAAGTTTGACATTGGTGTACTTGAGATTGAACTTTGAAAGTCTATTCCAAAATAGTACATAAGAAATAAGACCTTTAACAGATCTTTTCATTCCCTTTAGGTCATCTGAGAACTCCAAAAGATTTATGATTGAGGCTGTTCTTATTGTTACACCAAGTGATTCATGATTCCTAAATCTAGTTATAGTCTTAAAATGTGTTAATTTTGTGAGGCAGTGTTATTTAACAAAAGTGATGTTGGTATCCCACACACCAATCTAATATTTTATTATATAAATTTTCTAAAAAAAACAAACCCCCAAAAACCCTGCAGCTCAAGTATACAGACTGTTTTTTGTGTGTAATTAGCCCCACTGGAGACTTATTTAGCAGCCCATTAGCCTTGTCTAATCAGCATATGTGAAACAGCAAATCTAGCTCTTTCTTACTTATACCCTCATTATGGACTGAGGATAGCAACAAACTATCATTTTAGCTACATTTGTTAGCCTGTTTTTCTTCTTTGCTCATTTTTTCCCCTCCTAGTCCTTTTTCCTTACTTCTCCCCACTTTCCTTTGTCTAGTCAGAATTAGAGAAAGGCCTAAACTGTAGAGTTCAGATTTAGGCCCAGATTTTTCCAACATTTCTGTGTGTTTGGTTCCAGAATATTAGATCTATTCTTCAACTACTTTATTCCATCAAATCCTTTCATTATATTTCTCTGATTTTTCCCCCTAATACCCTTTGCCCTGTAGACCTAGGATTTAGCCTTAAGAATTACATCTCCAACCAACTATTTCATCCTGGAGTCTTAGTTTCACGTCCCCTTCTCTTGATTTCTTTCTTAGAATCCTTTAGCTATTTTTCTTGATTCTTTCTCTGAGACTGTCCATCATAGTTGGCTGCAGGCCCAACATTTCGCAGTCAGAATTACATTTCCAGACAACTTGCTATGGAACTGTGTTCTCTATGAATAAAATGTAATGCTGCCTTAGGGGTAGCAGTCCACAAAGAGAGGTGACCAAGACAAATCCTGGATGCCTACTGGATATGTTCCAAGGCAATGTCTCCAGATGGCTGCAGAGCAGAAGGTCTTTGACAAAGACAGTGTCTTCACTTTATGAAATAGTTCTTTCCTGGCAGCAGAGAAATGCACAGTTACACAGCTTCAAAAGAACAACTGAAAGAGGCAGATCCTACATAGTAACTGCTACATGATAGCAGCAGTAAGAATGTTTGGACAACCATTTCATATAGGCTAGGGACAGACATGAATGCATTGTGCCTCCCAAGGCTGGGGGGCATGGCGACCGCTCACAGGCAGCAGCAGCAGTGTTAGCGGTGGCGGGGGGTGAGCACCGAGTGGCGATCGGTGAGCGCCCACAGACACCACCAGCAGCGGTATCCAATCTCAGAGGGTGCATGTGCACCCCCTACGCATCACCAATGGAGACAGACATTACACATAAACCAGTATAAGTGACCGGAAACCAGTTCAAATGTGTAACAACAGAAGTTCAGTGCACATAAACCATTTTCAAAATGGGTGAAAGTGGCTTAAGATAAATCTGGATGGATGTAGTATCAGATGAGCTGAATTAGGTTAAATTGTTTTATTGAACTTTTGTCCCAGAACCCCCCCGACTCAAGTTAACTCATAGTCCCCTAGCATCCCAGGATGCCTTGCACCTCCCCCAAAAATACATCCTCTCAGGGTGGGTAGGCTAGCTTTGGTCCAAGCTGTCTGCTCCAGCTGGCAAGGAGGTACGCTCTAGTGCCCCCCAGCTTCTGGCATGGGCCATTGCAGGCATGTGGCTGCATTTCTGAAATCAAAAGTGAATGTTTGTTCACTTGCTTATTGGTTCAATCTATGCAGCTTAGACTAACCTGCAAAGATTGAATCAATTCAGTCTTGGGCTTTTTTACTGTCTGCTTTTTTACTGTACTTACCCATAGTGTTACCAAATTGAAGGCAATGTTGGGATGATTACCTTACCTTACACAGTGGATCACTACTGGATACCCTGAGGTTCATCAGTATATTCCTGAGGCTCGTCGGAATAATTTGTATGATTATTTTTCCCTTTGGAGTGAATATTATTTCCCTCCCTCCCCACCCACTTCTCTACCCACTGTCTTCCAAACTTCCACTCATTTGCATTTTCACAGACTCCGTGTTTACTTTAGCTTCATTTCCACCCTGGAGAACACAGAACAGCAGCAGTCTCCCAATGCCTGAAGAAGGGTGTTTGTGCCCCAAAGCTTGCAAATAACTTTTCCCCAACTATTTAGTTGATCTAATAAAAGATATCACACCTACCGAAGAACCTTGTCTGCCTATTATTAAACCAAGTTTTCACAGACAACATTTCCCCAAAGAAAACACCTCCTGGAAAGTCCTCAAATTTGCATTCTATTGTTAAGAATAAAATGCAAACACTGCAAATAAAGTCGTTGCATAATATAAGCTTGTTTTCCAAGTCATGCTAAAGTAAAAGAACAAATGAATATGTTTCCCAGTTGC